ACCTCCTGCCTGCCACTGTGTGGATTTGGGCAAGTGCTAACCATTGTGTGCTTCAGTTTCCTGATCTGTAACATGGAGGTAATTTCCTACCTAACCCACAGGCATCTATGGAACTTAGTTAAACATATAATCCTCTATATATAGACTACAGATATGTCTACGCTGAACGGCTGTTTTGAAATAACATGGGGTATGTCTACACTGCCACCCTAGTTCGAACTAGGGTGGCTACACACGGCACGGAGTAGGTAGTTCGAATTAGGCTTACTCCTCGTGGAAAGCAAGTCCTACCTATCCATGGAACAGGACTGGTGGTTGTAAACAAACTTTATGGGGCTGTGGGAAACTTGGCCACACCCATGATAAGTGGACATCCGGCAAACTAAAATCCATATGCCCTTGTAGCCAAGAAGATTAATGGCATATTAGGTTGCATTAAGAGGAACATTGCCAGCTCTGGTGAGGCCACATCTGCAGTATTGTGTCCAGTTCTGGGCCCCCAATTACAGGAAGGACGTGGATGCACTGGAGAGGGTCCAGTGGAGGGCAACGAAAATGATTAGGGGCTGGAGCACATGACCTACGAGAAGCGGCTGAGGGATTTGGGTCTATTTAGTCTGCAGAAGAGAAGAGTGAGGGGGGATTTGAGAGCAGCCTTCAGCTGTCTGAAGGGAGGTTCCAAAGAGGATGGAGAGAGGCTGTTCTCAGAGTGATGGATGACAGAACAAGAAACGATGGTCTCAAGTTGTGGTGGGAGAGGTCCAGGTTGGATATTAGGAAAAACTATTTCCCTAGGAGGAGGTGAAGCACTGGGATGGGTTCCCTAGGGAAATAGTGGAGTCTCCATCCCTAGAGGTGTTTAAGTCTCGTCTTGACAAAGCCCTGGCTGGGTTGATTTAATTGGGATTGGTCCTGCCTTGGGCAGGGGGCTGGACTTGATGGCTTTCTAAGGTCTCTTCCAGCTCTACGGTTCTAGGATTCTACGAATGCTGGACAACGGATGTTGCCAGACCAGAGAGTGCAGAATTAGAGAGATTCAACCTATATTAAATTAGGAGAAGCTGCAATTAACGAGGAAGACTGAAATATACAAAGGAGCCTAAAGAGATCAGAAATCATAAAAAGGAGATTCACCTGGGAATACGCAGATTAATATCTAGGGGAAAGATTCAAACACCAACACTGACGGGGTGGAGGGAGGGAAGAGGAGATTGAGAAGGGATAAAATGTTAGACCCGAATGTAGAATGAAAGATGGCAGAAGGAAATTTCTGAGCTGCACACATTTCACATCATCGCCCATGGAGAAAGAGCTCCCAATCTACAGTGCTCTAAATGCATCTACACCCAGAATAATCTCTTCCATTCCAGACACATCACCCACAAACAGCAAGGAGTTCAGAGAAACGTAACAAAGATGAGGAACATAACCCTACAGCTACACTGTGAGCCAGGGAGATGCAGCTCCCCAGCTGGAATGCACATACATGGGGTAGTTCCATTTGACCTGGAATCAATATAAATAGTAGCTTTCCCATGGGCAGTGGTGACCTGGGTACCCACCAGTTCCTGGAGTGTTCTTCCAGAAACTGCCCACGTTACGGCCACTACGCTATTTATACTCGTTAGTTCTCATTGAGCTATTAGAAGAACGTATATGCATTCAGACACATCACACCCCTTGCTTGTAGCTTAAGAAGCTGGGCTCATAAAGGAAAAGAAAAGGCTACGGTTAGGACAGAACATATTAATCTACTAGGGCGTGTAAACCCAAAATGGAAGAGGAATTATTTAAGGAGGCAACAAGGGTTTAACTAGAACTAATGGCATGAAAAAAGGGGAATTTACACTTTGCACTCTGGAGATTTTGTCCCCTCTGGGATACACTGTATAATAGCATCACAAGGGGGAGAAAATTTGCACTGCATGAACTCTGAAAATTACACAACTACAAAAAAAACACACCCCCTTCCTCAACGCAGAACAAATCATACACAGAGAGGGAGCAACTATCCAACCTTACCGTTCCACTCCACCTCTACTGTGCCATAATGTCTGTCCCTCATGCCATAATTACTCAGTCATACTTGCACCTCTGTAGGACTCAGTAAGTAGCCAATGGCCTGGATTTTGCAGATTCATTACAAACCAACTGCCTTCCAAGCCATTCCCTGAAGGAAGGGATGTGCTGTCATGTGGTTTCTCTTTATGCTAGAGAGATCTTGCTGCCAGGGATTCCACAAAGCACAGAGTTGCTTCTTATGTGCCCATTTGTGAAAAAGCTCTACTTTTCGAGCTTTGAAAGGAGACGCTTCTCACCTATCACTTATATCAAAATGGATATGGGTTAAAATCAAGGTCTTAATATTTTAGCTGATGTCCAGATTCAGAGAACATGCCCCTTCAGCAACTCACTGTTTCGGCGGCTCAGCTATTTTCTCTGCAGCACATCTCATATTAACTTCTGACAGTAAGGATAGGCTGAGATTGTGCAAACCGCTCGTCTATAGCATGACATAATTGGCACCAGGTGATCCGTTCAAGCCGCTGAATTCCTGAACTTACTGTGGCTTTCCAAGGGCTGTACATGTCAGTTCGAGTGGCTCCCCTTCTCTCGTTAGGCCTTGCAGTGGGTAATTCTGTAAAACCCGCACTTGGGGCTTATCTGCATGACAAAAAAACAACAACAAAAACCATTTGACAAATGATCTCATTGAACAGAATCAGATGTGTGCTGGGCATCGGTACCCCTAGCCTTGCCATTTCCATATCATTTATCTAATCAGAAAATAGATTCAGTATTTTCTCAAATTAAATTGACTAATCATGCCAAAGTGGGAGACACAGATAAGAGCGTAACACGCTAAAGTGCAGCACCACCATTTCTTGAGAAATACATTTTGTTACATTGAAGTTTATCTCTGAGCTCACTCAAGCTAAAGGGAACTCATTTGCCTTCATGCTGAGGTGAAACCAGAGATATTTGTGGTGCTCAGAATTGATACATTTTATCATGTGTCATATATTACCGTCTGACATTACTTTGTGCTGCTGCATATTAATATTTTTGGCTCTATTGTAGGGCATTTGTGCAAGAGACAGAAAAATCTAACTGTTCCTGATTTTGCTTCAGCAACGCACAGTTCTTGCTAGTCCAAATGAAGGTTGTGTCAATCTCAAAAACACACACAGAGGATTAAAGCGTTTATGCCAAAGGACGAAGCTCAGAAATCCTTCAGAAAGGCCTAGTAGAAAAAAAAGTACGTCACAGTCCACAATTAATAAGAAATTCATTGCCTTCAACAACTGAAACAGATTAAAAATGCAATCTCAACTGTAGCTAAAATGTTATGAACGCAAAAATCAATTCAATACCACAAATGCCATTAAGTCCCATACTTTTTTTTTTTAAAGTTACTCAACTGTAAAAAACACGGGAAGGCAACAACTTCGTATGCATAAAGGTTGAAACTATTCAAACATTTTTATTATCTTTGAGAAAGTCTATTGTCAATACTCTTAGCCTGTTGCCTTTTATTAGCAGCATTTAACTCATTAACATGTTTCCTATAGAATAATGGACATTAAAAAAAAGCCAAGGCTGGGTTTTACAATTTAAACCCTCATAATTTTCAACAATGGAATAAAATACACTAGTAAATCCTCTCCCAAGATAGCTACACAATAAATGTGCTTTTTTAAATAAACAAATCCCCATTTCATAGGGTCTTGTAACTATGAAACAAGACAACTAGCGGTTTTAAAAATAGCATCATTGCGCTCGTTTACCGCTCACAGTAAACCAGCAAATGTTTGCAACATTTTAGAAAAGCAAAATGATTGTATCCTGGTTAATATAAAACATTTAAGCACTTGAAATCACCAGCTGATCTTCAAGTAATGTGATTTAATTTGTGGGAGGTGCAAAGTAAATCTGTAAGAGTAATTGGTACATATATTCCAGATAATGATCTCAGCTGGGATGGTCATTCTTGGAAAGGCTGGACAAAATCATGATGTGGCTCTGAACTTCCAACTAGATGGATAATGCTATGTAATGCTTGGGCTCGCTTTTCCTATTTTGGACACCAAGGGTACGTTTAGATTGCAGGCTTTTGTCGACAGATACGGTCAACAAAGCTTCTGTCGACAAAGAGCGTCTAGACTACATCCAGTTCTGTCGACAAAGCCAGCTGCTTTGTCGACATGACAGTGTAGATGCAAAGGACAGTGTAGATGCAATAACGCTTTCTGTCGACAGAACTCTGTCGACAAAAGGCGTTGTTCCTCGTAGAATGAGGTTTACCACCGTTGACAAAACTGCCGTGTTCTGTCGACAGAACTCGGTGGGAGTGTAGACGCAGGTATAGTTTTGTTGACAAAAGTCCACTTTTGTCGACAAAACCCTGTCGTCTAGACACACCCCAAATGTTAATATTAACTACTATCATATTTATCCAGTGTTGCTCAGGTCCATCATTCAGGAATTCCATCCAGTGTATTCTGTTTCTTCATCCCTATAAACTCATATAATTTGCTATGTTTCAACAACAACAAAAAAAGGCTATAGTCAATTTGATTTCTGATAACATTTTCTTCTAGTTTCAAGCCTTAAGCATTGATGTAACTGTTCCAAAACAAAACACTCCTCCAAATTTCTCTATTTTATCTCTTTTCTGTAAGGTTTATTGAGAAGGAGTCCTATTCCAGACTTATCTATTTCTCTGGCTCATCTTGGTTCAGTCTCTTTCAATATTCGCTCAGTTATGACTGTTTTGAGCACTGCACTTGATTTGGCGATTCTGTCTCTTTTCTGTGTGGTTTTCTGAGATACAATCCTATTCTAGGCACATCCTATTTTCCTGGCACAACCAAGCTCTGACCTTGCAGTCAGTTAGGATACGAAGAAACTGTATTTTGAATTTGATGGTTCTAGCTCTTTATATTTCACAGGAGTTCTTGGACAGACAGATAAACTCTATAAAATATATAATAGATTGAGTAATTGGCAAGGATTCTCACTATGTAGAAAGGCAAAAGTAACTCACAAAATGAAAAGTCAAGTTTCATAGTGATATATACAGACACTATAAAGCAAAGATAGAGAAAAGAACTGGACTACCATATTTCGACTTTCCCTTCCATGCCTAGATATGACGCATGAATGATACCTAAGATCACTTACTGTTTGAAGAGCAGCAAAAAACTGCAAGTAAATCATATTTTCTTCCCTGTCCATCTAATGTCTTATGCTGTACTTAGGATTATCTGCTCCCCAGTCAGAGATTTTCTTCTATTTGCCTAGCAGATGCATCAACCAGGACGCCTCATATGAGGCGGGGGTATAAATTCCAAGTACAATTCATGGACACTGTGATTTGTGTATAAGCATGAAAGATTCTTTCTTAGCATCCTGTGTTGAGAAGCACCTTGTCTCTTCTGCTGCAACAATTCTGGTTTCCTCAGATAATTTTTATCATTTCTAATCAGCTATTGTCAATTATTTATACAAACCAGTGGGAACCAATGGAAGAGTTGCTGCACCTAGAATCAAATATAAACTATCAAATAATCTCTCTCAAATTATCTGAAATAATTCTCAGTTTCAGCGCTCTATCTCCATACTCTTCATATTTTACAAACTAAAACAAAGCAAACTTCAACTTGTACACCATATCGCGTATTCCTAGAGGTACCATGTTACAAAGCCCTCCCCACCACCCAAAGAGCTGATCTTCTAGACTTTAGCAACACAATACACCAGTATTCATAAAGACAAGAACACTTCAAGTAAAAACACCATTGTGCAATTTTCCACTAACCAGGATTTCCCAGTGTACTGATAAATACAGAAAACACTTATGAAGATGTGCTCCAAAATTATGAAGGCTCAGAAGTTGATTGGGGATTCAGGAGGAGTAACATTTTAATTACCTTTATAATGCATTTTAACCCAGCCTTACAAAACTTCACGGCCTGGGGTAAGAATTATTTGGGGATGGAGGAGGGCAGGGCATTTGAATAAAATGTCTTTGGGGTTGTCTCCGCTATCAGTTGCCATGGCCCAAAGATGGTAAGTATTTAAACTAAACTCTTCAAGCTGTGGACTGTGTATACACACACAGGAGCGGATGAGAATGCTGCGGGGCCCCGGGCAACGAAATTTCGCAGGGCCCCTCCTTTGACACAGCGCATGCACGGGGCCTCGGGAAGCGCGGGGCCCGGGGCAGCCGCCCCATTCGCCCTGCCCTAAATCCGCCGCTGTACACACAGTAGGATTCTGATCTCCATTGGGTATTCCTAGATGATACTGTAATATAATCTTAATAAATACCTGTATTATTCATTATCTATTATTCCTTATTTGTCATTTATTATTGTTGTCATAACAAATCTTTACAGTGAAATTTTTAAGATGCGTTTAAGGTCTCCAATAACTTTGTGCCAGCTATTAAACATTGCATTTAAACATGCCAAGTAGATCTCTGTGTGGATGCAAAATATGTATCTGCATCCAACCTGCAGAAACGGTCCATGGAAATCAATCACATATCAGCACATTTGCAGGGCTCTAATGCCAAGTTCCCAGAATTAGGTCATTAATGAGGCCTGCAGTAGTACATTCTGGGACAGTTACTGTACGCTTCAGATAGCAATATAAAGCATAAGGCCAGCACCAGATGGACATTTACTGCCTATGTACAACAAAACTGCCCTGAAATGTACTTCTTGGACCTTCTTTATATCATTATACAGTGGGATTCCCACATAAAAATAAAGATGAGTAGCTAGAGCTACACACCTACACCACAATAGTACGCTACTGGTAGCTAGTTATGTCTAGTCATCTAAAACAGATTCCTAGTACACCTGACTTTCTATTGTCTTTAAAAAACAGCCAAGAAATTTAATACAGCATCATTATTCTAGTGAATTCATTCAAAGGCTAGGTACTAACTAAGCAACCTTGCTTATTACTTGCTTTTTTACTAATTAACCGACCAACCTTGCTACAAACTATTCTGGATTCGATGAGATTTCTTCAAGAACACATGGAGTGGGCCTCTAAGAACACAAAAAGTCATCCTAAAAGAGGTGGGCATGAGATGGATTCTTTCCCCCCGCTAGTAGATGAGTTTATCCGAGCCTGACCATGCAATGTTTCATTGTCTTCAAGTCAACTGATGAAACAAAGTGCTCTCTCTGTCTAATAACCTATATTTTAATTTCATAAGCAAATGGGAAAGTTAAACAATCCTTGAGCTCAACTGCCACCATGAATATTAAAACAGACACTCTCACTAACCCGGTCTTCCTGGCCCGTGTGTCTCTTTTGGTAGAATTCTGCCTCTGTTTCAGGGGCAGCACATTCCTCCTCCTGTTTATCACTAAGAAGACCCCCTTGGTAGCGGTCATTGTCAATAACTCTTCGTGCCTGGGCCAGTTGGCAGTGTTCTCTGAATAGGCTGCCTGTCTGCCCAAGAGCCGAAAAGCATAGTCTACAATGCCCATGATGCTGACACTCCTAACACACAAGCCTAAAGGCCGTCTCTACTTCTTACCTCTTTACGGAGAGCTGTGCTGCCTCCTAGGGGCGTGGATACAGTTTGTATGGCACAGGTGTGGAGATCCACTCAACCAAACTCTGCACCCTGTGTATAATGG